AATCAGGCATGCTGGGTAGGGGATTTGAATTGGATAAAGGCTTAGGCGCTTAGCTCAATCCTCTCTAATAACTCTAAGAGTCTATGTCTTCAACGTTTACTAATGTTCATGAAAGGGGCAGCCCGAAGTTTGGTATAACTCTTTATCTTAGTAGTAATTCTCGAATAAATTAACTAGCTAATCCTCTATTACATAATAAGTCTTCGTTGTTGATGATCTGTCTTGGTTCAAAATGAGATGATATTAAACAGTTATAGCTTAGTACTAGTTTTTTTTTTTTTGCTAGATTATGAATTGTACCAAGAACTGATCTCAGACCGGGCCTAGTTGGATTTTTCTGGATTGATAATATTATTGTTTCTAAAGTTAGCACTACCCATGTAGATAGTTTAAGTGGAAACATACAGGCAGTAATAGTTGAAGGGGCTTTAGAGGTTGTGTGAGTTGCAAAGATTTGAAGGGACCATCTTCTAAAAAAGTGAGCTGGAAGGCAAGGTTGCATTTAACACCAGAAGAAAACCGAGGCATGAAAAATTCAGAAAACCGAGGCATGAAAAATCCAGAAAACCGGGGCATGAAAAATCGTCCTAGTGCACCAGAAGATTATCTCCAAAAGATTAGAGAGATGCTACAAGGTCAAGGAAGCAAAGATTAAATTCAAGAGCTTGAAATGAGATTTGCCGCTGCATTATTGTTCAAACATGACGTAGTTTTTTTAGATACATTTTGTAGCTTAGGCAATTGATATGTTGAATATCAAATTGATGTTTAACTACTTTAATTCTTATTTATTACTTTTGAATTGAAATGTGAATGATTAAATTTAAAATCGTATTCATGTTTCTATTGTGTGTTATGGTTATGTGCAATATATTAATTATTATATAATTTTATATTATATTTTCATCAATAAGTTAATCAGATAAATAATAAAAAATTAGTTATAATAACGAAGGGAATATGGTCGCAAATACTCCATTGAGGTTGTTGCAATTGTTGAATATTGTTTGTAAAACTCTAATTTAGCGAAGGGAAAGTAGTCGCAATTCTTTATAAGAAGTAGTCTCAAATAATATCATTAGCGACTGTATTTTAGGTGGTCCCAAATAGTTTTAGCGACCGCCCACTTTTTTCGGTCGCAAATAACCTTTTGCGGCGGAGCCTATAGCGACGGCCGCACGACCAGTTTTTGCAGTCGCAAATGATTATTAGTGACCGTTTTTTTAGTTTTTGCGACCACTTTTCCCTTCGCTAATAGGTCATTTTCTTGTGGTGATTGTAGGCCTACCAAAGACCACAGGTGGATTTGATGGCATTTGGGTAATTGTAGACCGATTAACCAAGTCGGCCCACTTTATTCCCATTGCGGTAACCATGAATGTGGAGAAGTTGGCTTGGCTGTATGTCCGTGAGATCGATAGTCCCCAAGACTATAATTTCTGATAGAGACACCAAGTTCACATCACACTTTTGGGAAAGTGTGCAGCGGTCATTGGGAACAAAATTGAAGTACAACACAGCCTTTCACCCACAGACTGATGGGCAGACCGAGAGGGTCAACCGAGTTCTCGAGGACATGTTAAGGGCGTGTGCTATCGACTTTCAGGGCAGTTGGGTGAAATACTTAAGCCTCGCGGAATTCGCTTACAACAATAGTTACCAGGCTACCATTGGCAAGGCTCCATACGAGGCGTTGTACGGGAGAAGGTGCAGGTCCCCTATCACGTGGTGTGAGTGTGGGGAAAAGAGAATAATGGAGGAACAGCTTGAAGGTAGAACTAAAATAATCGAGGAGACATCCGAGTCCATCAAAACCATCCGACAACGGATTGAGGCAGCCCAATGTCGACAGAAGAGTTATGCCGACGCTAAGAGACGACCCCTTGAGTTCCAAGAAGGAGAACGTGTCTTCGTGAAGGTCACTCCAATGAAAGGGGTGATGAGGTTTGGTAGGAAAGGTAAGTTAAGTCCGCGATTTGTGGGACCATTTGAGATAACCAAGAAAATAGGTAAAGTTGCTTATGAAGTGGCACTACCGGAGGAGATGGCAGGTATACACAATGTGTTCCACATTTCGATGCTCAAAAGATATTACGAGAGCCCAGAACATATCCTTGTACCTCCACAAGTAGAGACTCAACCGAATATGACTTACGAAGAAAAACCAGTGAAAATACTTGATCGTGAGATTAAACGTCTAAGAAACAAAGAGATAACGTTAGTAAAGGTACTGTGGAGGAATCACAAGACGGAGGAAGCAACATGGGAACCGGAGGAAGCCATGAGGAAGCGCTACCCTGAGTTATTCTAGAGTAGATGGATTTAAATGATGTATTTGAAATAGTTGAGGGTCTATTTGACCCTTTTTCCTGCATATTATTACATACAGTTATTTGTTGTAATGCATTATAAGTTGATACATACTAATTGATACACACATATTCATTAAAGATACAAACTAATACATAAGTACAATATAAGTGATACTGACCGAGACAATGAGATACTCTAAAAATAATACCTATTTTGACCATTTATACATACTGATAAAGTATTTATTTTTAAAGTTTTAATTTTCTTAAGAAACGTAGATGAGTTTATTTGATGCTTTTTTTAGTACATGGGTTTATGTGACCTATTTGCAAATTGCAATTATAGAAGGGTTATTTGACCCTTTTTCCAATACAAATAGACAATTCAATGAAATATAAATTTTATGATGTTTAAAATATACAAATTAGAGAATCTAAACATTATATACCTTTTGGAATCTTGAATAATACTTCGTACATAACATCTAAAAAATCAACATATACCAATACTACGTTTTAAATGTTTAAAGGCCCATTACAAGAGTAGGTTCCGGTTCCAAACACCTATTGTATCTCCTAAAAGACGATCATGTCTTCATTTGATCTAGGGAAAAATAATAAAAATACCCCAAACTTTGACGGGGTGTGAGGTAAGCAGTCCTAACTTGCATATATAACTTAAATACCCCAAACTTTATATAAAAAGTCATTTTTGCACCATTGTCATGTATTATATTTTTCAAAAATGTAAATTTAAAGAGTTAATTGCATAATTTAAAATAGTTTAGGATTCATGAAGACACAATTAACATTTTAAACTTCTATTGAGAAATAAACAATGTTACATACGCCCAATCTATATAATTGCAATATTTTTAATTTACTATTTTAACTTATGCAATTAACTCCGTGGATTTACATTTATATAAAGTTTGGGATATTTGAATTACATATACAAGTTTGAGTTGTTCATCTCACACCTCTTAAAATTTTGGGGTATTTTAATTATTTTTCCCTTTAATCTACAAGCTAAGAGTAAAAAGTAAATCATACGTAGTAAATCTCCCCGATTCAACTGCGTACGTATGTAGTGGAGAATGACTTTCTTTTGTAGTACCAACATGGCAACATGGCTTGTATATTGATCAGGGTATAGTATGGGCAGTGTATTAATTAAACATTTAATATCATCTCTTAGACCATAGTACATTAAACGAATTGAAAATCCTTTTCTAATGTTCTCTATTCGGGTGAAGCATAATATATTGTAGTACCAAGTACGAACTGCCAAGTGTGGAGTATGATTTATGCGTGCATTTATGGATACTAATAATTACTAAAGCAGCTCAATAAATCCATTATCTCCATCCCCTAGTTATATAGAGTCTACGTCCGAGTTTCAATTCTCATTCAGTCTTCGATCAATTCTCCAGCACTCCACCCTTCTAACGAACTTTCCTCAATTCATTTTGCCTTATTGAATGGTAACCTCTATCTCTAGCTATTTCTTTTTAATGTTTTCTACTTTCATGCTTTTTATCCTTGTACAGTTGTACTACTGAGATCTTACAATGTTATGATTACGTTAAACTGTTTTACGATAGTATTTTGTAATGTTTCTTTAAGTATAAAATGTTAGGTTTCATGCATATGTTATTGTTATTGTTATTATATGTTGCCCCTCTAGTATTTATACGAAACAAATAAAATGCTATTTTTATTATATCTTTGAGCTTTATACGAAGTAATTTAATACGACCCAAGTAATATACATTCACACAAACACATGCACATCATTTGTGTCCAACGAAATTAGCCTGTTTATGATACTTCATGGACATCTAGCGGAAATAATTAAGTGCTGGTTTGGTGTGACATTTTTATTTTCTTTTTTATCAATTTTATTTTCTTTTTTATCATTTTTATTTAGTGATATGGTTTACTTTTTACTGTTGTCAAATTGCACATCCTAAAAGACGGTCATGTGTTCATTTAATCTACAAGCTAAGAGTAAAAAGTACAGGCTAAAGGGTCAAATAGGCCCCTGAACTGACTTATAGTGTTCAATTAACCCCTTATATAGGAGGTTCTGCTGGGCCGTCGCCAATTGGGGCGGTTCCTGTGGAATTTTTTGATGAATTTTTTTGAGAATCTTCTTCATTAAGTCTAGTTTACTCATACCAAATTTCAGCTAAAAATTCAACCAGGAAGGTTGTCAAGTGATTTTTTGAAGATAACTGCGAAGTTAAACAGTGCAGTACATTTCGGAAAATCATTTGACTGCCTTCCCGGTTGAATTTTTAGCTGAAATTTGGTATGGGTAAACCAGACTTAATGACGAAGATTCTCAAAAACATTTTAGCGACGGCCGGACAGAACTTCTTATATAAGGGACTAATTGAACGCTTTAAATAAGTTCAAGGACATATTTGAACCTTTAGCCAAAAGTAAATCATTCGTAGTATAGTAAATATCTCCAATTCAACTGCGTACGTATGTACGTAGTGGAGAATGATGACTTTCCTTTTGTAGTACCAACATGGCATCATGGCTGATATTGATCAGGGTATAGTATTTTTTTTTTTGAAAGATGATCAGGGTATAGTATGGGCAGTGTAATAATTAATCATTTAGTATCATCTCATAGTACATTAAATGAATTGAAAAACCTCTTCTAAATTCTCTATTCGGGCGAAGCATAATATATTGCGGTACCAAGTATGAAGTACTTCGTATGATTTATGCGTGCATTTATGGATACTCATAATTATCAAAGCAGCTCAATAAATCCATCATCTTCATCCCCTAGTAATTAAAGCACTACTACTACGATTCTCCGAAGTATAGAGCTAGTCCTAAAAATTAAACCCCCCACCAGGCCATTCTCATTCACTCATTCACTTCCATATTACAAGTTTCAATTCTCATTCAGTCTTCAGTTTTCCAGCCTTCCAAATTTCGTCAATTAATTTGGCTTGATCGAATGGTAAGCTCCATCTCTAGCTATTTCTTTTTAATGTTTTCTACTCCAATTTTTCTCTTTATTTTGAGTTCTTTCCTGCACAAAATCGTAACATATATCTTTCGGCTCTGTAAGTATTTATACTTAGCTTGTAATACTGAGATTTTACAATTTTATGATTACACAAACTGTTTTATTTTGTAATGTTTCTTCTAGGATAAAATAATGTTAGGTTTCATACATATGTTTTTGTATGAAACAAACTGCTATTTTTATTATATCTTTTAGCTTTATACGAAGTAATATGACCCAAGTAATATAATATTCATTCACACAAACACATGCACATCATTTGTGTGCAATTTAGTTCCACGTTGTGTCCAACGAAATTAGCCTGTTTATGATACTTCATGGACTTGAAGCGGAACAAGAGTCTGATTCAGATAAATTCATACATCTACAATTTGCATGATATGATCCGATTGAAATAATTAAGTGCCGGTTTAGTGTCACGTTTTTATTTTCTTTTTATCATTTTTACTTTCTTTTTTATCATTTTTATTTAGTGATGTGGTTTACTTTTTACTGTTGCAGGAGATGTCAACGATAATGTTCTTCTGGTTCCTTCTTTGTGCTGCTCTGATTGTTGACCCATCAAAGGCTGACAAAAATGTTAGCAAGACTTTGATACCGAGCGCCGTTGCTGAAGGAGCCGGTAAAATACTTGATGATTTATGAATGTGCATAAATTTTGAACAAGCTTAGCATTCTTATATGCTTAGTTAATTGAGTGTTATGTATAAGCACATACATATATTGAAAAAAGTTATAGTCATGTTTTCACAATGTTAGAGTATTTTTATTTCATTGTGGCGTCATGGGAGGGTTCGAAAGTCTATAATTGAAAGATTTATTGTGCTTATTATAGTGTGTTTGGACGGAAGCCCGCCCGCGTACCATTACGATGCAGGCAAAGGTTCCGGTGCACGTAACTGGCTGGTCCATCTGGGAGTGAGTTTACTTTGTTCTAGTATCATTTATCAAATGTTAATTAATGGAAATTATTTTTTTTTTGCTCGAATTAATGGAAATTATTAAAAATCACAATAGCTTCCTTCTTTTGTGAACTTTATTCTAAAATAATATACTGACTTTTTATTTTGCTTCGCATGGCATGTCTGTTTTAGTGGATTGAAAAGTTTAATTCATTGTGCCAAATTAAGAAATTTGAAGTACACCCATAAATGCACCACGCAGTATTTCCACACTGCACATGTAGTTATGATTATGATCATTAGTAGTAACTCAAGCTGTATCATTTAGTGACATGCCTGGCAGCCCAGCATGCAGCTCCATTTTCACAATTGTGCATGTAGTAATTGCTCTTTTAATTTGTACTGTCATAATTTAATTGTTACTAAAATTAAGTACATAAAAAAGTTAACCTAGAGACCGCCATTTCATTTAATCTAATCTAATTGATAAAGATTTTTCATTTAATTAGAGCTGACCATATTTTCAGGGTCGTCCCAAATTTAATTTCTGGATGCAAAACTCATATAGAGTTTACGTATATTACTCTTTCTTACCATTTAAAGCCGAATTATCTCAGTTTCAAAAATTAAATATTCAATATAATTTTTATATCCATGATTCACTAATACAACTAGTTGTTACGTCATCATTATTTAAAGTTTACATAAGAAGCACCCATAGGCAATAGATTTAAAACCAGCAGTTTTTAATTTTTAAACAAATGAGAGCTATCATATATGCATCCACTCTAAAACCCATAGATTTCTTGTTCCTATCAATGCGTTACCATGCTCTCTTAATACGCTATCAATTCCACTTATTTCCAATGATATAACATTGTTTTGATGCATTTTTTTTTAATCGTGATGCATTTTTATTTCAAAAATATATAATTCCACCAGTCGCTTCCGCATGAGTTTCTTTTCACATGGTGGTATATAAATTAATACACATTTTGTTTCATTTAAGTCAACGCCACCTATAATATTGAAATTCAGTTAAAGCTTAATTATATGCATGTCACATGTGATTTAATTAGGGAGGAGGGTGGTGTTTAAACAGCACCATATACCAAAATATGACCTACGCCATTGCCGAAAGCTGCAGTACTCGTGCCACGTCCAAATTGGGATCCTCTTTCCACATGACTGATTTCCTGTTTGAAGGAATATTTTCTGATGAAAAAAATCAGTCTTTTTTTTACAATTGGAACCGGGTCGTCGTGGAATACTGTGACGGCGGTTCATTCTCGGGAGATGTGGATCAACCTGATCCGGTATGTATTCTATTTAATCTGTTTCTTTCAATTATCTACTATGATATTCCATCAATTTAATTAAATTAATTCACTTTTAATTTCCAATTAGGCAACAAAGCTTTTCTACAGAGGCGCCCGGATTTACAGAGCTGTGATGAATGAGTTAATGGCTAAAGGCATGAAAGATGCCGAAAATGTAAAATTTAATTACTACTATATGTCATAAGTGAATTAATTAATCAAATACCTATTTTTAATTTTATTTTACCCACATCTTAATTGTTTTGCAACAGGTGATCCTTGCCGGAGGTTCCGCCGGTGGAATAGGTGCCATGATCCATTGCGATCATTTTAGAAGCCTATTTCACCCGACTGTGAACGTCAAGTGTTATATTGATAGCTCTTTGTTCTTAAAACTGTAAGCGTAGATATACAATTTGTTTGTACTTATAATTCAGAAATTATATTTATTTATTAATTTATTTATGTTTCAAATTTTGCTATTAACAGGAAGGATCCCAAGCGTGCCATGTTTTTCAAGACTATATTCGGCACGGTTGTTGAACTGCAGGTAATTAATTAAATAGAAATAATTGTTAATTATTGACCAAATCACAGTTAAAGTTCTAAGATAAAATTATACTAGTATATGGTTTATTGATCAAATAAGACTTATTTAAGGAGTAGGATTTTTAGAAAATAATTTAGTTAAAGGAGTTTTGACAAAATTAATACTAAACAATAACATTTGGGAAAAAAGGGTCTTTTTTCAAAATTTTCCAAAATAGTGACTAATATCACAAATATACCCCTCCGGTCACAGTGACCAGCTTGCGGTGACAATTGAAAATCTCAATGACATTCGGTTTTGTATTGACACCTAGATAATAGTGACATGTACCGCCGCCCAACAGTTGCAGTTTAGTTTTTTGTTCAAACGATATTTAGTCTTATTTTTTGTCATTTTCAAAGTAAAAAATCATATTTTTGTCATTCTTTCTTGATTAAAACTTTCCAAAATAAGAGTAAATATGTCTTTTTTGCAAATAAAATCACGATTTTCATGCTTATGAATTTCTTCATTGTTTTAGTCTTATACTGAGAAAAGTTAATCGATTTAGCGGTATTGTTATAAGGAAGTTAAATTAGGCTTAATAGGAACAAAAACCTAAGAGAATTTCAAAATAGGAAATAAATATTTTTAATTCGTGAATAAGGGAAACTTATTTCAATTTTAGATAAAATCATGACACTCTTATATTAAAATTTTCTCATTGTGATATCATATGAGAGTAGTTAAATTAAAATCTGGAATATTGCATGGGTTGCAGCAAAGCGCCAAGGCATTGCCGGCAGAATGCATATCGGAGCGAAGCCCATCAGCGGTACATCATATTATTTAAAGACGTTGTGCTGTATATGAGTAGAAAATGTTTGAGAATCAAAATATACTATGGTCTATGGACTTATTTTATAAATAGAAATAATTATTGGTAGAATGAAAAGTACAAACAATTATCAATCTACTGTCATTCATGGTAGTATACTAGCTCCTGTTTTTGAACCCCGATAAGGCCAAAGTATGGCAATAAATTTTCTTGATGATAGTAATAAGTAATAACCCGTGTTTAAAGAAAACCATTTATTAACCTTATAGGAATAGAATTACTCAGAAATGCAAGAGAACTACTAGAACTATACTCTTTTTATTCTCATAAAAATATGTAGTAGTAGTTGTTGGTCTAATGGGAGATCAGCACCACCCTTTGATTCAGGGCTTAACCGCCCAACCTGTTGGCACCACAAAGTGGTGCAGCCCCTCATGTCCATCCACCGCTCAGTAGTGGGGCTCTGCACTGCCGTAGTGAACTGTGGGGGGTGCCCCACAGGAATCTACCTTGACTTGGGGACTACAGAGTAATGGGTTAAATAGAGGGTGTCCACTTCCTTATCACCAATTGGTTTTAAGAAAGATATGGTTGCTATTTAACCACAGAACTCTGGAGTTAAGCGAGCCCGGGGTAAGAAAGCCCAGGGATGGGTGACCCACTGGGAAGTTTGTCGACAAGGGGTGAATCGATCCAACAAGTGGTATCAGAGCGAGGTCACAGGTGAATCTCTCGGCTGGTGCTGGGGGGTGATTGTTGGTCTAATGGGAGATCAGCACTGTGACACCCCGAAAATTTAAATAAAATAAATAATTTTATTAGTCAGATAAAATAAGTGATTATAATAATTAAGTGAATCAGATAAAATTTTGACATCAATGACATTTTTAATCAGATGAAAATGTTTCAATAATAAAGTGACAGTTTTTAACAAGTGGTAAAAGCGACATTTTAACAATTTAAGTTAAACATATCTATTAATAATATGTGTACAAAAATACACTAAATAAGGTACAGAAAGAACAATGCGAGAGAAATTAACTTTACAAACCTAATATTATACATCACACATAATAATATGCACACCAATAATACACACCAGTAATACATAAGAAATATAGAGATCGGATGCCATATCCAGGCCACATGCCATGTCCGAATGTTCATATACCCCATGCCATATGCACCACAATTCTTTTCCTCTTTCACATGCATTATTGGCTTTCCCTTCCAGCACATAAATGTCAATAGTTAATCGGATAGCACAGTTGTTATTGTTTTTTTCCTTACTCAGCATCTCCATAATAATACTTCAATAATAAATTTGGTAGTACACCAAAATAAATGTATTGGGACACAAGGTCGGCTAACTATAAAGTAGTACATGTGATAAGGTTGGAGGATACGAAACTCTGGACCTTAGAATCATCGAATATATATACATGTTTACACGATTGCGGATTTGCGTAAAACAAAAAAAAAGAAAACCACAAGCCTGGTAGTATATTATCCTACGATAACATTGCGACGCCAAAAACCAAAACACCCAGACCATAAATTTTACATAGCCTCGGCCTGCAAAGAGAGAGCTGATCGGCCGTCGTTAGTCACTGACGAAGGAGGACGAACGGGGAAAAGAGAAGTCGCTGGGACTACCTTGTGGACTGCTTCCGCTGAGCTCCACCACACCACCTCGCCGGAGAGGGAGTTCTGACCCAAACCGCCATTGTTCCCGGAAGTTCTGCTGCACCAGAGAAGTAATTGACGGACCAAAATACTAACTGAGATCCCATCCAGATCTCACGCCGGAGTTGGTGGCGTTAGAACTGACCGTCGCTACTCGCTAACTACTGATTCATGTCGGAGCCTGGAATGACGGCCGAACACTTCTGCACGCCGGGTTTCTTCGTTGGGTGACCGACTTGTCGCCGCGAAAGGGAGACGGAATACCTGAAGGCTGGAGCTCGCTGTGACTGCTGCGTTTCGCCGGTCCGGGAAATTGACGAAGAAGACGACCCTGCGTTGTTTTTACGTAAGTAATACTCGGCGTTAAATTTATAATAATAGGCTGAGCTGTTTTATGATCTTTGGGCTAGAAATTTACGAAGTATTTAAAATGGGCTGCCAGGTTTCAAAGAAAAAAATAGCTGTTGACCTGGACAAACGATAAACATACACCGACTGAAATAATCAATTGTGCTGGCCTAGTCGATATCAGAAACTGATATGGTTAAATTAATAGATTAAGTTGGCATAATTGGACAGATTATCTGGGCTGCCTAATTTTAATTAGACTTAACTAATATTAATAATAATTATATACTCCGGTAATAAGAATAAACCAATTCGGTAATAAGAATTCTAAGTGATAACAAGACTTAACTAATTATATACTCCGTAGTAATTTATAATTGTAAGGATAATAACAATGATAATTAAACCAATTCGGAAATAAGAATTCTAAGCCAGAAATCTAATAGCATAACAAAAATAGATTGTACTTCTAATTCTAGAATTTTCATATTCTAGAAGGTGAGATCGGAGGAGATCAAGGTAGAAGCCTCGGTTAGGGTATCGCGATTCGAGGTAAGTACTATGTCAACCAAATTTCATGATTTTCCCATATAAATTTATTTGTGACTAGTTATTTGAGATCATTTGAGTATATGATAGTTAATGAGATTTTACGTATCAATTGTGATTGTGAATTATATATATTCGAGATTTGAGTATTTTTATATTGGGTGATATTTTGAGCATTTGAATTTACATATGAATTGTTATTCGATTGAGATTTGAGATTTGAGCTATTTATGAAGTATCCTATATTTTGGACTATTTATGGTATATTTGAGTATGATGAGTTGGAGTTAATAATTTCATTGTGAATAATTTTGTGGAATTTGGATTTCATATCCATTTTGATTGAGGTTATGATATTGGAACTTTGAGATTGAATTATGATTTTGAGTACCCGGGGAAATGTGGATTTGGTGAGTGGTAATGACTATAAGTCTAATTCCACCAGGGATCTCCCAAAAGCGGAGCATCCCAGCTTAATTGTAGTAGTCGGTAGAAAAATCCCGACTACTCGGACTTTTTACTACCCGGAGAGCTTGGAATCTCTTTCAGGGGTGTGCACACTTAAGGTAGGAGTTCGGCTTCCATTGGATTTGGTTGAGTTTGAATGATTAGACTTGAGATGATTTGGATTATTTGGTTGGACTTGATGGAGATGAATTGAACTACATTATATTGGATTATTTGAGTGGGTTATATTTGTTTGGATTGGATTGAATTTGATGTGGTTGAGATTATTAAATTATTTGTAGATTTTCAAAGTAATACTTATTAATTTGATTTGATATGGTTATGTTGAATATTGATTATGAGTATTTGGAAGTATTTTGAGATGAATATTTGGGCTTTACATATGATTTATGTTTTGGAATATAATTACGAGGATTTTGGTGGTTTATGTATATTGACCTTTTAAAATTATTATGATTTGGAAATATGTACCTATATTTGGAATATTATTATTTTACATGTGATTTTGTGATGAGAAGTTTGTATAAAATGTTTCATGAGGTTTCCTCCCAAATGTTTTTACAAAATGATATATATGTATCAAACATGATTATTTTACAGGGTTGGGTGGGCCTTACTTAGCATTTCCAGCTAATTTTTGTTTCTTTGTGTTTTTCTTTCTGTACTTTATTTGTGCAGGAATTGAGGATCATGTTGAAGTTGATTTCGAGAGCTTCCGCTAGAACACATAGACTAAAGTGATTGAATAATTTATTTTAGTCTTAATTTTAAAGAATTGTAGTTGAACAATTAATTTTGGAAAATCTTAATTGGTTGGTGGTGGATAGCCTGTGCACTCGGTTATGTGAGAACCGAGTGTGGCGGTAACGCCCCTGTTTCCCTTTGAATTTTCCGCTGCAAGACTCTGATGTTTTCGAATAAATCATTATTTACTTTGAATAAATCATTATTCAAATGTATTTTTGGGTGGGAAATTTGGGGGTGTTACAAATTGGTATCAGAACCTCTTCTTTTATAAAAACGGGGTTTCAAATATTTTTGAGATTTTCTAAAAAGAGATATCAACAAGTTGGTATCAAAGCCTTTGATTTTTAAATTGGGAATTTTCAAATAAAACTTTCCTTATGTGACTACGATCTTCAAAAAGACTTTCTTTTAAAATCGATTGAAATTTTTCAAAAAGTTTCCAGAAACGTTTTTTTTTCTTCTTTGAAAAAAATTTATATCGATCTTTTAATGCTCTTATACAAAAAGAAAAAGAAATTTAGGAATAATAAGTCTTATTAAAAAAAAAAAAAAAAGAACAAGTCAAGGAAAAAAAAAAACCTAGGATACGGGTGAGATGTGAGATTTTGAAATCTATTTTGATGGAGTTTGTGGTTCTTTGAATTGTTTGAGTTATACTTATATGAGATATATCACTATTGACTCAGTTGAGAATGAGTTTGGACTTTTAGAGGAACTTACCAAATTATGTGAGTAATGAATTAATAGTGAAGGTAGTATAATTGTGAATGTCATTGATATACTTCGTGTCCTAAACATTATTCTTTCAAGTAGACAATGAAGTCAACGAGAACCAAAATAGAAGACAATATCGCCGCACCGACGAATGCGGAGTTGGCTCAAAATGTGGTTCAACTCATCCAGACTATCGGGAGTGTGTTAATTCAGAACCAACACCAACAACGTCTCAAAAACCGCAATGATGTAGCGAAACTTGTAGCGAAGCGCAATCCACCGTGTTATTTAGGCCAAGAAGATCCTCTCATCCTTGAGGATTGGATTCGCACTTTCGACAAACTCTTCGATGCTATAAACTGCCCTACAGATCAACGAATTAATACGGCTGCGTACTATCTACGTCAAGAAGCAGACAATTGGTGGGCCACGACTGCCCTAACGTTGCGTCAACAACCCGACTTTTCTTGGGAGACGTTCAAGGAGGAAATGCGAAAGAGATTCTACCCAGAGCACGTGAGAGCTGAGAAGTATGAAGAATTCTTACACCTGAAGCAAGTAGGCATGACTGTCCAAGAGTATCACGCTAAATTCTTGAATCTCGCACGATTTGCTCCCACGCTAGTTCCTGATGAAATCGAGAAAACAAATAAGTTTATACGCGGCCTGAACTTCGAGACACAAAAAGCTCTTTGCGTTTCAGAATGCCAAACGTTGAACGATGCCTACAACAAAGCTGGCAAGCACTATCGAGTGCAACAACTCCAGAAGAAAACACTCAAGAGAGCGAGGAAAGTGACTGAAGGAGAAAGCAAACCAGGAGGCAAACAACGCAAGCTAATTCAGCTAGGGCACACTCGGTACGAGAAGAAGGTCAACAATCAAGGCCAAGACCAGAAGCGTAAGAAGAAGAACTCAACCGAAGAGATGCACTTCTACTGCTCGAAGTGTGGAAAAGATCACCCCGGGAAATACTGTGACGGAACACTCGTACGATGTTTTCATTGTGACAAGCTTGGACATAGGGTGTTCGAGTGTCATTCAAGGAAGAAGGGAATCCCTCCAACTCGTGGACTCAATCATCATGGAAAGAATGCCAAACACAAAGGAGGAATCCGAAAATAGTAGGCAAAATCATATAAAATTTATGATTTTCAATATTAATACATCTGTTTGAGGATTGTGTATCAATTTGATCTTAAATGAATAATCCATTTTCTTAAGTAAGTTAAAGGCTATGGGGACAAAGCATTTTTAAGGAGGGTAGAATGTGACACTCCTTAAATTTTAAAAAAAAAAAATTTAATATTAACTAAGATGTAATATCTGCTAATTGTACATGTGGATATTTTCTTAACTTATGCTTCGGGACGAAGAATTCTTTTAAGGAGAGCAGAACGTGACACTCCTTAAATTTAATAAAAATTTAATATTAATTAAAATGTGATACCACACAATTGTAGTTGCGGATATTTTTCTTAGCTTATGCTTCGGGACGAAGCATCTTTTAAGGAGGGTAGATTGTGACACCCCGAAAATTTAAATAAAATAAATAATTTTATTAGTCAGATAAAATAAGTGATTATAATAATTAAGTGAATCAGATAAAATTTTGACATCAATGACATTTTTAATCAGATGAAAATGTTTCAATAATAAAGTGACAGTTTTTAACAAGTGGTAAAAGCGACATTTTAACAATTTAAGTTAAACATATCTATTAATAATATGTGTACAAAAATACACTAAATAAGGTACAGAAAGAACAATGCGAGAGAAATTAACTTTACAAACCTAATATTATACATCACACATAATAATATGCACACCAATAATACACACCAGTAATACATAAGAAATATAGAGATCGGATGCCATATCCAGGCCACATGCCATGTCCGAATGTTCATATACCCCATGCCATATGCACCACAATTCTTTTCCTCTTTCACATGCATTATTGGCTTTCCCTTCCAGCACATAAATGTCAATAGTTAATCGGATAGCACAGTTGTTATTGTTTTTTTCCTTACTCAGCATCTCCATAATAATACTTCAATAATAAATTTGGTAGTACACCAAAATAAATGTATTGGGACACAAGGTCGGCTAACTATAAAGTAGTACATGTGATAAGGTTGGAGGATACGAAACTCTGGACCTTAGAATCATCGAATATATATACATGTTTACACGATTGCGGATTTGCGTAAAACAAAAAAAAAGAAAACCACAAGCCTGGTAGTATATTATCCTACGATAACATTGCGACGCCAAAAACCAAAACACCCAGACCATAAATTTTACATAGCCTCGGCCTGCAAAGAGAGAGCTGATCGGCCGTCGTTAGTCACTGACGAAGGAGGACGAACGGGGAAAAGAGAAGTCGCTGGGACTACCTTGTGGACTGCTTCCGCTGAGCTCCACCACACCACCTCGCCGGAGAGGGAGTTCTGACCCAAACCGCCATTGTTCCCGGAAGTTCTGCTGCACCAGAGAAGTAATTGACGGACCAAAATACTAACTGAGATCCCATCCAGATCTCACGCCGGAGTTGGTGGCGTTAGAACTGACCGTCGCTACTCGCTAACTACTGATTCATGTCGGAGCCTGGAATGACGGCCGAACACTTCTGCACGCCGGGTTTCTTCGTTGGGTGACCGACTTGTCGCCGCGAAAGGGAGACGGAATACCTGAAGGCTGGAGCTCGCTGTGACTGCTGCGTTTCGCCGGTCCGGGAAATTGACGAAGAAGACGACCCTGCGTTGTTTTTACGTAAGTAATACTCGGCGTTAAATTTATAATAATAGGCTGAGCTGTTTTATGATCTTTGGGCTAGAAATTTACGAAGTATTTAAAATGGGCTGCCAGGTTTCAAAGAAAAAAATAGCTGTTGACCTGGACAAACGATAAACATACACCGACTGAAATAATCAATTGTGCTGGCCTAGTCGATATCAGAAACTGATATGGTTAAATTAATAGATTAAGTTGGCATAATTGGACAGATTATCTGGGCTGCCTAATTTTAATTAGACTTAACTAATATTAATAATAATTATATACTCCGGTAATAAGAATAAACCAATTCGGTAATAAGAATTCTAAGTGATAACAAGACTTAACTAATTATATACTCCGTAGTAATTTATAATTGTAAGGATAATAACAATGATAATTAAACCAATTCGGAAATAAGAATTCTAAGCCAGAAATCTAATAGCATAACAAAAATAGATTGTACTTCTAATTCTAGAATTTTCATATTCTAGAAGGTGAGATCGGAGGAGATCAAGGTAGAAGCCTCGGTTAGGGTATCGCGATTCGAGGTAAGTACTATGTCAACCAAATTTCATGATTTTCCCATATAAATTTATTTGTGACTAGTTATTTGAGATCATTTGAGTATATGATAGTTAATGAGATTTTACGTATCAATTGTGATTGTGAATTATATATATTCGAGATTTGAGTATTTTTATATTGGGTGATATTTTGAGCATTTGAATTTACATATGAATTGTTATTCGATTGAGATTTGAGATTTGAGCTATTTATGAAGTATCCTATATTTTGGACTATTTATGGTATATTTGAGTATGATGAGTTGGAGTTAATAATTTCATTGTGAATAATTTTGTGGAATTTGGATTTCATATCCATTTTGATTGAGGTTATGATATTGGAACTTTGAGATTGAATTATGATTTTGAGTACCCGGGGAAATGTGGATTTGGTGAGTGGTAATGACTATAAGTCTAATTCCACCAGGGATCTCCCAAAAGCGGAGCATCCCAGCTTAATTGTAGTAGTCGGTAGAAAAATCCCGACTACTCGGACTTTTTACTACCCGGAGAGCTTGGAATCTCTTTCAGGGGTGTGCACACTTAAGGTAGGAGTTCGGCTTCCATTGGATTTGGTTGAGTTTGAATGATTAGACTTGAGATGATTTGGATTATTTGGTTGGACTTGATGGAGATGAATTGAACTACATTATATTGGATTATTTGAGTGGGTTATATTTGTTTGGATTGGATTGAATTTGATGTGGTTGAGATTATTAAATTATTTGTAGATTTTCAAAGTAATACTTATTAATTTGATTTGATATGGTTATGTTGAATATTGATTATGAGTATTTGGAAGTATTTTGAGATGAATATTTGGGCTTTACATATGATTTATGTTTTGGAATATAATTACGAGGATTTTGGTGGTTTATGTATATTGACCTTTTAAAATTATTATGATTTGGAAATATGTACCTATATTTGGAATATTATTATTTTACATGTGATTTTGTGATGAGAAGTTTGTATAAAATGTTTCATGAGGTTTCCTCCCAAATGTTTTTACAAAATGATATATATGTATCAAACATGATTATTTTACAGGGTTGGGTGGGCCTTACTTAGCATTTCCAGCTAATTTTTGTTTCTTTGTGTTTTTCTTTCTGTACTTTATTTGTGCAGGAATTGAGGATCATGTTGAAGTTGATTTCGAGAGCTTCCGCTAGAACACATAGACTAAAGTGATTGAATAATTTATTTTAGTCTTAATTTTAAAGAATTGTAGTTGAACAATTAATTTTGGAAAATCTTAATTGGTTGGTGGTGGATAGCCTGTGCACTCGGTTATGTGAGAACCGAGTGTGGCGGTAACGCCCCTGTTTCCCTTTGAATTTTCCGCTGCAAGACTCTGATGTTTTCGAATAAATCATTATTTACTTTGAATAAATCATTATTCAAATGTATTTTTGGGTGGGAAATTTGGGGGTGTTACAAGCACCACCCTTTGATTCAGGGCTTAACCGCCCAACCTGTTGGCACCACAAAGTGGTGCAGCCCCTCATGTCCATCCACCGCTCAGTAGTGGGGCTCTGCACTGCCGTAGTGAACTGTGGGGGGTGCCCCACAGGAATCTACCTTGACTTGGGGACTACAGAGTAATGGGTTAAATAGAGGGTGTCCACTTCCTTATCACCAATTGGTTTTAAGAAAGATATGGCTGCTATTTAAGCACAGAACTCTGGAGTTAAGCGAGCCCGGGAAAAGAAAGCCCAGGGATGGGTGACCCACTGGGAAGTTTGTCGACAAGGGGTGAATCGATCCAACAGTAGTACTATATGTCCAGCCATCCCGGCCATCTTCATATTCTATACCTTCCACCTTCCCAAAATCTCCATTGAAACTTATTTTATTAATAAAAAATGATAGTTTATTTATAACAAAAACATAATTATATAAAACTAAGATTTTTTCTTAAAATTAATAACAGAAACGTTAAAATATAAAATAAAAATAAGCAAAAATAAAATAAAAAAATGGTTCTATCCTTTGTAAAACTACACATTTATCAAACTTTTCTTTCAAAATTGCAACCATAATGATATTTCACTGGTGTGTGTGTGTGTTATTGCTATTATTACTCGTACGAATTAGTTAAAAAACCCTATTAAACATGATATTGGAAAGGGTAAGATAGGAAGAGTTGGGGGTGGGCCAACCTAGGCCGTGGCCCACCCCAAATTTTAAAAATGGCTTACTTTTTAAGGTGAAAAATTTTCATGTAAATTTTTTGTCTAAAAATATTCTTTAAACCGGCCCAGTTCGGCC